AAAAAAAAAAAAAAAAAAGCTATGAATGTAGTTTTGAGGTTGTCCATACCCAGATGAAGGGGTTGCTCCTACAAGACCCAGAATGTTTCCTCCCTCTGCCCCTGCAACCCCGGCTCTGGGAAGCCCTGGGCAGTGTATGAGCCCTGTCCGTCCCTCCTAGGGTTCTGCCAGGCTGGGAAGGACCTGCGTCTCATCTCCATCTCCAATGAGCCCATCGATGTCCCTGCTGGCTTTCTCCTCGTGGGGGCCAAGGCCCCGAGCCTGCCAGACCATCTCCTGGTATGTGCCGTTGACAAGAGGTTCTTGCCAGATGACAATGGCCACAATGCTCTTCTTGGTAAGTTCTTCTTTTGCCTGTCTCTGTGGCTCTGTCTGCATGTGGGTGGGTAGGGACAAGGGAGGGCTCAGCTGCTGGTGGTGGCAGAATGGAGGCCACCTTTGGGACCTGTTCATCATGGCGTGCAGCCCAGCTTATCCTTTGGGAGACCATTTATTTGTGGAATGGAATGCAAATGAGATTTATTTTAAAATGTGACGGCCTCACTGTAGAAGGCCCATTACTTAGTGTTAAACGTTTCATACATTTATTCCTCAAACCTGCTTGAGTACCCACCTGTGTTAGGAATGGGCTATTTGTCCCAGACACTCAGAAACCAGCTCACACAAGGCAGAGGGGAACTAGGCTGTGTTCCTGCCTCCAGAACCTTCCTCTCAGGAGGTGGTCAGTATTACCCCAGTTTTATAGGTGGGCTTGGACTTGTTAACAAACTTGCCCAAGGGCTCACTAGTGAGAAAGACAGAGCTGGTTCCAAATTCTAATCTTCTCGGCCCCAATTTCTACCCTTCACCGTATCATGTGGTCTTGACTATGTTATGGTCAAAGTCAGCATGGGGGAGCTGAGGCTTTCCCTTCCAGCTACTGGCACCACTGGCCTTTGATCTTTCAAACCACCAGTGGCCCACTGAGGCCCGACTTCAGTGCAGAGTTGCGACTGGCCTATGCCAAGCCTGGCTTTCATTCACTCAGATGACACATTTGAGCTCTTCCTCTCTGCCAAACCCCCACTCGGCACACTCCCCCTGTTGGGTTTGGATGGACAACCCAGAGATCTGGGTTTCAACTGTGCATCTGACCACAGGTCTCTGGGTGGCTCTGGCCCCTGCGTCCTCATCTGTGAGGTGGGGAGGTGATTTCCACACATGCCCCTAGCCCTTCAGCAGTTAGTTCCTGTCTGGTGACTTTGGGACTGGTCCCTCTACCTGACCTGGCAACTTCTTTGGAGAAAGACTGGGCAGGTGGAAGGATTGGTCATGACATATGTCAGGTGTAGCCTCAGGAATACTCTTCACTGTAGAAGCGAGTTTGATTGTGAGAATTTATGGGAAAAACTTACAGGTTACTCCCCAGGATCTCGTCCGTATTTCTCATGCATATCAACATTTAAGCCTCCAGCTTTGTATTTGATATAGTCCTCAAACCTGGGTGGGCAAACCCACTCTGATGGATATTCACTGAGTGCATTTTATGTTTGAGTCACTATGTGAATGATGAAGGATGGAGAGGAGAAAGAGTGAGATTATCCCAGAGGGAAGAAGGAAATGGTTCCTGCTGCCATGAGGGCAGTGAGGGCACACACCTGTGTGTGAGATCTGACACAAGTCAGGAGGACACAGGGGAGGGACAGAGCCACCCTGGGACAAAGAAGGGAGAGAAAGTTTTAGCCAATTCTCTCTCTAGGCAGGTCCATAGACTTATTTTATTAATGACTAGTTGTTTAAAATGAGAACCGCAGAAGACTGATTGTACCGGAGAAGCTGATGGAATAATTCAGTCTCAGAGTGATTTCCTACCAAGGTATCCCAGAGGAAACCCAGTCGTGGAATACTGTGTTTAAATGGCCGTCTTAACGTTTGATCTGGAGGTGGGGGGATTTGTCTGAATTCCACTACTTTGCAACTGTAAAGGAATTGCCAGGATAGTAAAGGAGCTTCTGCCTCTTGGCCTGTGGGGAGGAGAAGCTTTAGTTCCTTCATGGCACAGCCCTGTAACAGCACCAGCTCCTTGGAGAGCCTAAGGAAGTAGGAGCTTTGTTAATTGCTCGCCAAAAAGCCATCTAAAATGGGTAACAAGGGCTGATTGTTACCATCGCTTTCTTCTTTTAAAATAACTTTATGCTCTCAGCTTGCACACTTAACACTGTTTAGGTTTCCTGTAATTAACTCTGATGGCTGCACAGGACAAGGTGGCCCCGCATAGCCAGGCAGTGGCCGGGTTAGGGACCTATAAAACAAAGGCTGTGGAATCTCTTGCAGTAAACAATGGCATTAGGATGCTTGTTTTAGTGATTTTGAATCAACTGAGGGATTTTATCTGAGAATCTGGAAGATTAAAATCTACATATGTATTTTAGTTTTTTGCTGGTAATTTATCTTACTTGGCTAATAGCTAAGCATTAAGAGAAGAAAGCATACTTTGCTAGAATGTTCATTCTCAGATGGAAGCCAGCCAGCCCCTCTTGATTTGACAGGCAATTGCTTAATGCATTTATTGAATATATAACCCAAAACCCTTAGGCTATGCCTGGGACCCCAAAGCTAAGTTGGACCAGCCCTTCCCTCGGTGGCTCCCCATCTGTGGGGGAAATGCAGGCAAACCAAGCATCAGCCCAGAGCTCCACAACACACAACCCTGTTGATAAATCTTACAAGTCTTTGTGCAAAGGCTTAACGTGCTCTGGGGATGTGGAAGCACTCGCTGACTCTCAGCGATGGGAATGGTGTTGGATTGAGTAGGGCTCTGAAAAGTGAGTGGCATTTTCCCAGTTGGAGAATAACAACAGCCACTCATCACTAATAGCAGCCAAGGTTTATTGCGCTTTTATCATGTGCCAGAAATTGTTTGAAGTAAGGTAACCAATGAGTTGGGTGCATAATTGCCTAGTGTTCTTATATATAAAGTAGCAAAGGCACAGAGAGGTTAACCGACTTGCTCAGGGCCACCCAGCCATTTGAACCTAATGATCTGGCTCTGGTGCTCAGATGCTAGAGGACAAAGGGCATGTCAGTAGATGGAGCCACCTATATGACAGGGCGTGGCATGCTGGAGAAGTGGTTAGAACTCCCAGAAGCTGGAGCTAGACTCCCGGCAGCGGCTAGAACAGGGCCTTGGGGGTCCTGCTTGGAAAGCTCTGTGACACCCAAGAAGCCATGTTCAAACATGGAAATAGGAGCAAATAGTGATGTGAAGCATCTGTGCTTCCTTTTCAACAGTTACCAACACAGGCCACTCTTGTTTCATTAATAACTCCTGCTCTTCTCCCTTTTAGGGATTATCTTGAAGCAAATCATTTGTCATTGTGTCATTTCCTCTGTCAATATTTCAGTGCATATCTCTAAAAGAGATTTTTTGCTGCAAATCCAGTACTATAATCATACCTAAAAATATAACAATTCTTTAATATTATCAAATATCCAGTGTTCAAATTTTATCTTGCACTTTTTATTATTTATTTATTTTTTTGAGACAGAGTCTCACTCTGTCACCCCAGGTAGAGAACCATGGCGTTACAGCTCACAGCAACCTCAATCTCCTGGGCTCAAATGATCCTCCTGCCTCAGCCTCCCAAGTACCTGGGACTACAAGTACCCGCCACAATGCCTGGCTAGTTTTTCTATTTTTAGTAGAGATGGAGACTTGCTCTTGCTTGGGCTGGTCTAAAACTTGTGAACTCAAGTGATTCTCCCTCCTTTGCACCCCACCCCCCCGCCCCCCGATGGAGTACTGGGATACAGATATGAGCCATTGCACCTGACGCTTGCTTTTTTTTTTTTTTTTTTTAATAGTTGGTTTGTTTGAATCAAGATCCAAACAAGGTTCTCCCAAAGCATTTGGTTGATATGTCTCTTAAGTCTTTCTTTATCTGTATGTCTTTTCTTCCTTGTTTGACCCTTGTTATTTTATATTTTTAAGAAACACTGAAGTGTTAAAATAACTATGTTTTAATTTGTGTTTTAGGAAGATCTTAGTGGTCACACACCTCATTTATTTTTATTGAAAGTGAGAAACTTAGAGGAACTAGTGATACACCTTTTGCAGGGTTCCAGGTAGCGATGGTGGCCTGCTGGTTATGAGTTTCAAACCTACCACCATATTATTTACCACCCCTGAGTGTGTCCCGCCTTCCCCTGGGACCCCTGTGCCAGTTCTTGTCTCATCTGGGATCTGATACAGCTCCTTATGCTTTCCGACGTAGGTAGGCCATTTCTATATGTTAGTCGGGAGTTGACCAAAATACCGAAGGAGCTCTGGAGACATTTTTGTTAGGCAATATTTATCTCCACAGACAGGACAGTGACAGGAATAACAGAAATCCAAAAACGCAAAAAGGAAAAGTTGCCCAAATCCCACTATCCAGAAGTGAACGTTATTGTCTAGCGTTATTGTCTAGCGTTCCTACGTAGCCAACACCATTATCTAGCGTTCCATCTTCCTTTCACCATCCAGAAGGGGATTTAAAAGAATTTTTCTAAGTTAGTAACCATAGTTTAGATAGGCTACTTGATTCTGGTTTTTCAATTAATATGCTACAATGAGCTACAGATGACCCTATTTTGGTCCCAAGTCCCTGTTTATTTTCAGGGACCGGGAGGGTGGCCACTTAGCTTGCCAGGTGTGGCTCATGGCCCCCTCATGAGCTTTCGAGGTTCATTCCTTATAAGGAGCACAGAGGGGCCACCTGGTACTGTGGGTCCTACCTTCTCTTCAAGGCCCAGTCAATGTGCCACTAGCCAGGACATCTTCCTGAGTCACTCTTGTTGCGTCCCCGTTCCTCCCAGCACATTGTGTTGGAAAAGCAAGTCCAAGCTTAGCAGAGTCTGCTTCCTCTCAGAGCTGCAGGTCGTCCTGTGTTAGAGGGCATGTGCTCGCCCTCACTGCTGTTTGGGTGTGAGTGAGCTCCTTATATGATGTTCTTTATCAACTCTAAAATGCTGCCTAGATTTGAGGAACTGCTCTTGTTACCACTGGTACCTCTGGTTGACACTTATCACTGCCTCAGTAATGGGATTAATTGTATTTATTCCTTCTTTCTTATGGTCAGGGAAAGAGTGTTTTTTGTTTTTTGTTTTTTGTTTTTTAATGCATGTCTTGCTCAAAGCACCTGTTTAATTCCTAGCAAATTTTCTTCGAATGCTTCAAACTTATTCATGCTTAAAAGTATTTGTCATATTTGCATATTTTTCATAGAGAGTTGACAGCTCAGACTCAGTGGCTGTCTGCCCTGGGACAGTGGCCTAGACAAGGCTTTTCTGAGTGTCCGCACTCCCGGGGAAGTACAAGTCGGAGGTGTCAGGCCTGGAGGACTGGCTTGTGCTCGTTGGGTCTGGTGTGCTGTCTGTCACCAAGGAAAGGTCAGGTGCTGGTGGGCTTCAGAACCCTCCTGAGGTTTGCTGGGAGGACCCCTCTCTGCAAAGGGGTGGTCCCGGCAATAACCGAGCTGCCTCCAGCCTGTTCTGAGCCCAGTGCTTAGAGAACACAGAGTCTGAAGGAAGCCACGTGTGGAACCTTCCAAGAAGAATCATACGATTGGTTCTGGAAGGAAGCATAGGGCCCATTTAGTCCTAGCCTTCTCTTTTCTGGTTGGGAAATTGAAGCCCAGAGGAACCAAGCCACTTCTCCTTGTCTCACTGCGCTGGAGGGGGCTGTGAAGCTGCCTCCCTGGGGGGCGCATGTGTTTCCTGACCCCACGGAGCTCCTTCCCACTTCAGCTTAGTCTGAAAGAGAACACCTTGGGAGTGCGGTTAGGCATGCCGTAGACACTTAACTCTGGTGGTGCTCCTACAAGATGGATTTTGGGGAGGAGAGGGCTTGGCAGAGTGGTGCAAGTCCCAACTCTGACGCTTCCTACCCTGTACCCCTGTGTTTACTTCCCTCTCTGCCTTGGTTCCCTCATCCATACATTGGGGGTATTGCTAGGAAATTCTTTTGTAAGGCTTCATGAGGTTTAAGTGAGGATGTTTGACATAATGTCCGTGACACCGTGCCTGGCACGTGGTAGCTAAGCTGGCATGTTAGTGTTGTCATCTTGTTTACAGACGAGGAAAGCAAAGCTCAGAGGTGTTAGTTACCTGCCCAGAGTCACTTGCTTGTCAAATCAGGATCCGAACCCAGGGACCTCTGACAGCTAGGTTTGTGCACACTCCCCCACACAAGGGAGTGGACAGTAGCTGTCCTCCCAGCACAGGGGAGAGCCTGGCTCAGCGGCCTGCTTGTGCAGACGCACGTTCAAACACACACGGCCTGCAGCTGCTCAGCCAGACCTGCGGGAGCGGCCGGCAGCGGCTGTGTGTGGTCAGAGGGATTCATGTTCAGGACCATTTCCCGTGCTGTAGCACACTGAAGTCATTTCTGCCACTTTGTATATTTGTGCCTGGTGGAAATTTGAGGTTTTAGCCTAGATCCCATGCTTTCTAGGCCGATTTTCTAAAGAGATCTTTATAGACCTCTAAGTCCTAAGGCGGCTTTCTGGAGAGAATAACTCATTATTTTATTCTTTCTCATAAAAACTTCTTTTGCCATTTAAATACTTCCTTGAAGAGTTAGGATTACCTAATGCCTTGAGCCAAAGTGCTTTGTGCTGCAGGCCCTGTCTCCCAGTGCTGGCTGGGAGGCGTCTGTGGGTTTCTCGTTTGGTTTCTAGGCCCATCCCCCAGGACCACCTTTCAGGAGAGCGGCTGAGTCTCCTAACCAGAAAGTTCTTGGCAAAGCAGAAGAGCAGTTTGCTTGCCAGCTCCCTAAACAGCTGCTGTGCTGGTGAGCTGGAGGGTGCGGCGCTCATTCTGAACTCCCTGTTGTCTGTGCTTCCTGTTCTGCCAGGGGGCATTCGTCCCCAGCCCATGTTGCTCCTGTGAAATCGGCCTGTAACCTATTTAGCGGATTCTGGAGACGGACAGTGGCCCTGGGCTTGGCAAGTTGCTCTTAGCATCCTTGGCCTTGCAGTTCTGTTTCTTGTTCACTCATCTTTTTAGCACTAGGCTTAGCATTCCTTCCAGAGAGTTCTGCTGAAGGTTTCTCGGGGCCTCCTCCATAGGTGACAGTCGAGCCTTGTTTATCTCAGGTTTCCTGGGGTGGACACAAATGAAGAAATAAAAACATCAGGTTCTTACTTAGAAGATGGTGCAGAACCCCTACGTGCCTCCTTTCATAGTGGCCTGGTTTCCACCCTCCCTCCGTCCCTCTCAGTGCATACTGGTGGCCTGGCCCCTTGAAGGGTAGGGATGACGATGGGGAAAAGACATGAATTCAGTAACTGCAACACCGAGGAAGACGTTCAGATGCCCTCTGATGGCACTGACGCTGGAGGTGGGTGGGGAGGACCTGGGCAGCCTCAAATGCTGGTCTCTAGGGAGGTCTTGAGCCTCCGGGGATCCGAGGCTGCACTTTCTGTCCCTGTGACTGTGGAAGATGACTCAGCCTCTCCGGTTCACGGACATGGACCTTCGGACTTTTGATGAACTGTGTTTTATGTGGAAAGAACTCTGGAGGTGTGTTGAAGATGCTCGTACTTTGTTTACTTCTCCAGGTTTCTCTGGGAACTGTGTCGGCTGCGGGAAGAAAGGCTTCTGCTACTTCACAGAATTCTCCAATCATATCAACCTGAAGCTGACCACCCAGCCCAAGAAGCAGAAACACTTGAAGTATTACCTGGTCCGTAATGCACAGGGGACTCTAACCAAAGGACCCTTGATTTGTTGGAAAGGCTCAGGTGAGCAGTCAGGCTGTGGAGGGTGTGTGGGGGCACTGGGCGTGTCCCCCAGGTGGGCTGTGGTGTCTGTCATTGCGACGTGGGTGCAGATCATATAGGCTAAAGGCCAGTCCTGCGAACCTGAAAATGCTTCTTGGCGTTACGGATATTTGGCTGAAAGTGACGATCGGATGGGGCATCTAAAGATGGGTCAAGGGCCACACTGTGCTGTGCTTCCTGTGGGAAGATTTGGGGCAATGGTTCCCAACCAGGGATGGCTTTTGTCCCACTGTTAACATGTGGCAATGTCGGGAGACATTTTTGATTGTCATGACTGGAGGGTGCACCCAGGGGCAGGGAGCAGGGACACCGCTGAACATCCTGCAAGGCACTAGTCCCTGACTCCTAGAGTCCTATCAGTGGTGCCTGGGCTGAGACCAACCTGATTTAGGGAAAGCTTGGCTCAAATACTGTGCTGCTGCCCTACCCCTAACCCCCTTAACTAGGACCAGCTTCACCTTACTGGCTCCTGAAGAATCTGGGGGCTCCAGGCCCCTGAAGCTGTGGGAGGAACCCTCTCAGACCCCTCTGCCCCCTTGCATCTCCCGGCTATAGTCTGTTTGCAGAGGCCTGCCAGGGAGGGGCGCACCTCTGGGAGGGCTTTCTAGTGCAATGGCCAGGGCATCATTCTGTCCCTCCCTTGCCTGCTTCTGTGCACATCAGGCCTTCTGGGACCTCCCAGCTTCAGGACAGGAGGCTCTGCCCACACCCCTCCCCTCCCATTCTTCCTCCATCCTCTCCCACCCCTCTTTTCTTTACTCAGTAAATACTTCCTGAGCCCATTGTGGGGCCATTTCACCATCTTTGGTCACTTGCTATTACCAAGACCCTTGCAGGTTCAATGTGTCACTGGGGTCAGCGTTTCCCACGCATGGGTGGGGCATTGGGAGGGAGATGGCTGGTCCTTCCCCTCTGGTAACACTCTGTTCTCTGCGTGGACTTCAGGGACAGCAGTGGGAAGGCTGGTTTGTATAATTCGTCTGTCTCTTCCCAATACTCACTATTTGCCTGCTCCTGACAGAGCTGTCCCTGGGCGTGGAGCCCCAGGAGGGTTGTACCCTCAGCGCCCCCAGCACGAGCTACACACTGAAGCAAGGACTAGAAAGTGGTGGCATCTCTTGTGGCCATCTATGCATCTCGCTCTCCCATAGGACAGTTCCCGTCTAGAAAATTGTTTGTAACTGTTGGAGGAGAGCGGATTGGTTTTCACGCCTGTGTCTTGTGCCCTCAGAGTTCAGGAGCCGGCAGACCCCCACTGGCGCATGTTCCAGTGTCCTCTTCCCACCGCTGGAGAGCTCGGGGCCGCCAGCCTCCTTCCCCAGCGAGTCCGTGCCCGGGACGAACCCCGGTGTCCTGATGGGAACTCACCAGGCAGGTGAGGTGGTGAAGTGCCAGAGGTGCGATCCACAGACCTGGAGTGACTCCAGCGTGCTGGGTGACCGTGTGGTCAGGCACTCTTCAGAACAAAGGAAGGACATACTTTGTATGTTGTCTTTTCCACAGTGCCTTAACATCTCTTGAATATGTAACAGTTTTCGACAAAGAATGCCATGTTTTCCATTGGGAAAGCTTTTCCACATCCCTGTGTGATACATAATGCGATCCCCTTGACTGTGGGGCTGGTGTGTTAGTGTCTCTGCCCTCTGCAGAGCACAGAGGTGTCCGTGTAACAGGATCTGAGTCCGTGTTGGAAGGGGGGACCTGATTGCTGCCGCTCATTGTGTGGCTGGTGTGCCCCAGCTCTGTGTGTGATCTCCTCAGCCAGCTGGCCTTAGTCCCCACATCTTACTGACTGGGAATCGGGCCACTGAGTGGCATGCTTGCCTGAGTCTTCATGAGCAGGAGGAGGTGGAGGCGAAAGTTGAAGGGGTATTTCTGATTCATGTGCTGGGCACTTCACCATGCTGCACAGACCTGCTAGCACAGCCCTTATTATCACAGCAGGCACCAGCTTTCCAGGGGCTCTGAAAGATGGCTGGTGATTTTCATCTGCCACCCCAAGAGGGGAGCCTATCCCCCTGTCCCCATCTGGCCTGTTCTTTACCTGGTCTGGGGACATGCTGTCCTCCAAAGGTGCTGAGCTCCCACTTCTGTGTGGTGTTTACTGTGGTCCTCACTGCCTGGCCTGGCCCAGGCCCTTACACCTCTGCTGCTGGGGCCAGGGGAGCCCACTGTTGGCACCAGAGTGCCTGGTTGTGAGCCCCAGCGCAGCCGACTTCTAGCTGAGTGATTTGGAGGCACTCACTCAAACCCTACAAACCTGTTTCCTCACCTGTAAAACTGGGGAAATCTCTTCTGACTTGCAGGGCAGTTGTGAGAACTGAGATTCCGGAGCTAGCAAGTGCTTGTGGAGTGCCTGCTACATGCCAGACACAGTTCTGTGCACTTTCTCCCCATAACTGCTGCTGTTCTCACAGTGGCTTAGCGTCACGATTATTGTCATTTCATATAGGAGAACATTGAGCATAGCCAAGGTCCCACAGCTGGGGTGGTGGAAGCGGGCTGGAGCAGACTCTCTGGCTTTAAAGCCACGTTCCTATCCCTCATTTGGTTCTATGCCTGACCTGAGCACCTTCCAGATCTTTCTGAAGGACACGGGCAACTTATGCAGTGCACCATCTTCCAGAGACCGGAATCCACGTTTGCCCCCAGAATCACCCACAGACCCAGGGAGCCCTGGGCCCTGTGAGCAGGCTGGGCCCAGGCAGCTGCACACCTGGACACTCTCCTGAGCCCCGGGGGCGAGAGAGAAGATAGAAGGAGGCAGGGCTATTTCAGAGTGTCCTGGAATTCAGGGAGCCCCCACTGAACTGGGGGGCTTGGCCATTTGCATCCCTCTGCTCCTTCTTTTTCCTAGGCTGTGCCCACTGGGACATGAGCAGGGGTGTGCATGTGTGGGCACGTCTTAGTGGGGCAAGATCACTGTGTCGGGAATTCTGACTTCTGGATGGGACTTACCTGTGAGAAGACAATTTTAAAAATGGATGAAAAGTCATTTCCCACTAGCCTGGCTCACAGAGCATTCTCTTCTTTGCCATCTTCCTCTTTGCTTTCAGGACCAGCCTCTGATCATCCCTCACTAAGTACAGCAATGGGCCCCGCAGTTTTCAACGGCAAAGATTCCCCGAAGCACCAACAACTGGCAAAGAGCACCCTGTCGGCCCTGCCGCGGCCCTCCGCCTTAGGTAGCGCTGCCTGACCTGGCCTCCCAGGGGTCCTGCTCTTGTCCCAGCCACGGCCAGAGGGGGTACGGGAGCCGCTGAGCTGGGGCTGCTGTGCCTCCTGGAGCCGGTGCTGCTTCCATGAGAGACAGGTGGGGACAATAGGTGCTGCCCCAGCCTGTGGGTCTGTGCCCAGGCCCTGGTGCTGTGTGTGGTTGCAGCTTTCACCACCGAAGCTGGAGTCACACTTGGGAGATGTTGCATGTGCCAAGAAGCAGTGAGACATCCCTGGTGACAGCAAGAGACATGTCTCATGGGCCATGCAACTGGAGGGCTCGAGAGTTTTGGAGCAGTAGGGGGCAGGATGTTGTCAGAGAATATGACATGTTCTTGGAATCAGGTAAATCTGAATTCAAAATGCAGCTCTGTCTCTTGCTAATTGGAGAAACTTGGCCAAGTCTCTATAAATGTTTCTTTATCTAGGGATAAGAATTCTGCTTTGAGCAGCACCTGTGGCTCGAGGAGTAGGGCGCCAGCCCCATATGCTGGAGGTGGCGAGTTCAAACCCAGCCCTGGGCAAAAATTGCAAAAAAAAAAAAAAAAAAGAATTCTGCTCTAAGGGTACTTAAGAGGCACATCTGGCAGCTCACTAACAGATAGCAGATATTGTCATCTGTGTCACCTCATTGCTGAGGTTGCTTTGTTCAGGGAGGGCTTCCTGGAGGAGGTGATAACTGAGAAGCAACTAAGAAGTTGGGGAAGCATTAAGTGGATGTGGGAGGAAGTGAGCAAAGAGGGTGAGGTGAGGATGTGGGTGAGAGAGGTGAGTGGGAGGTGGAGCAGTCCTGTGAGAGGAGGGTATGAGGAAGATAGCAGAGTCGCTTACCTAGAGCCACTTCACAAGCCAGTTATGTCCCTCCCGCCCTCCCTCGTGCACACAGCTAACCTGGAGGAGCCCTTAGAAATCTCCTAGGCCAACACTGGTCTATAGAAGAAGGGAGGCCCCCCAGGGTCCAGTCCCTCTGCCCCGTCACACTGTGCTGGTGGAGGACGCACCCCATGAAAACCCTGTGAATATCTAACTCGCACTGAAGGAGAGGTGGAATTGGATCCAAGGCTTCCCGGTCCTAACCGTGCTGCAGCCAATGTCAGCCTTCCCGCTCTGTTAAGTGCTGAGTTTAGGAGCAGCCCTCTGGCCAGGGAGCTGGGCCTCTGGGGAGGGTGATGCTGTGCTGTTGGGCCCCCTCTGTGAGCCGAGGTCTGTGGACAACTAGCTTCTTCTCCAAGCAGCAGGGCCTCCCTTACCCCTGGACCTCACGCAGGTGTTCTGGTACTTCTTATGGGCAAGATTGAGTGGATTTTCCTTGCCGTATCCATGGAGGGATGTAGGAGATGGAGATGCCCACCCCTGCTCCCTAGGGGGCACTCAAGCCCTTCTGGAGTCTGGCCTTAGCTGACTGCACAATCTCTTTTGTTGCCATTTGGGCTATTTGGCAGTTCCACCCCGGCCTCCCACCTTCCCTTCTGCATGCCCTGTTCCTCTTGTCTGTGACCTATGGCTCCCCCATGCCCTGTTTCTGCTTGTCTGTGCACCCATGGCTCCCTCCATGCCCTGTTAAACTGCCTTCCTGAGCTTAGCTTGGGGGTACCCTCTACGTAGTGGGGCTCCCAGGCATCCCAGCCTTAGCCTCATAGCCATTTGCAATTGTCAGGGCCAGTGGCTCTCCAGGTTCCCAGGGCAGGGCCGTAGTCACGCATGTCTTGGAACCCCCAGCACTGGGCGGCCGTGGGCCTGGCCGGAGGGGCCCGAGACACTGGGCAAATTGAGTTGCACTGAACACAGCTGAGGTGTCGGAGTCCTGAGCCCTCTGGTCTGCTTTGGGAAGATGCAAAATCAATTTTTAAAAATCTGTTTCTAAGAGGACCAGGAGTGTTTAATGAAGGCGTGAAGCCTGTCACTCAGGCTTCACTGTTCTCAGTGGGGAAGAGCTGAGCCTCGGGGGGAGGGAATTGTGTAGATAAAGGAAGGACTTGTCCCAGACAAGGGGTCTCACTGGCATTTAGAGCCATGGACGGAGTGGGCAGGATGGTGAATGTACCTCATCATGTCCCTGGCTACATGATGAAGCAGCAGCCCCTCCTAAAATGCCACAAAACACTCCCCCCCCATGAGACATTTTAAGAAATGGTTGACGCACATTGGGACCACAGGGGCAGCTCTGGGGACATCATTTTGGAAGCTTAGAGTCCATGAAGAGGCATTTAGGTTTAACTTCCCAAAGTGAGAGGTGATCTATAGATCTTCCAGGTCCTAGACCCAGTTCTGTGCCCTGTCCCTGTTGGTAGCTCAGTCTAGCAGGAGCCCTTCCCCTGCACTTGGGGACTGACCTATGGAGAGTCACAGGCCTGGCCTAAAGTGGGGGATAGCAAGTAAAACAGCAGCTTCCTGGAGCTGCAGGGAGGGCCAGGAGCACAGTGGTTTGAAAATTCTTTGTAAATAAAGTATTTTATGCTGTGAGCTTTCAATCACTTTCAGACTAAAGACAAGGTGAAAATACTTTTTGAGTTATGTTCAAAGATTCTAAAGCAATAATTCTCCAGCTGCAACATGTTTTACATGTGGCTGTGGTCCAGGTGGGGCTGGAAGGATGGGTGCAGCCTGGCCTGCTGGCTCCATGTAGCTCCCCAGGGCTCTGGCTGGTGGTTCTCCACCTTGGGGGAATCACCTCGAAACTGTAAGGGGTGTGGATGATGTGCCAGACTGCAGGTTACCTGGGATGGGGTTGCCTCTAGACAGACTTTGAAGTCTTCTGAGTTCACTTAATGTGGGGTCAGTGTTGCAGTGTGTAGCTTGAAACATAGGGGAAATTTTGAGTCCCATTAGTCTAGAAACTACGGCAATCAGTTCTTGATATTTTGAACCATTCACGAATATCGCTTGAGTCATGAGCCCGCTGTTATCTGGAGTGGGCAGGGATGATTCACTGGCAGCAGTGGGTGTCAGCCTCTGTTCCTGAGCTTTTTGAGTCTGAAATGAGCTTTCCAGATTGGGGCGGGGAAGGGAGCAGGGTGGATCAGTACTGCCCCCAAGTGGTGAAACTGTGGCAATGCCGCTGCTACTTGTCTGCAAAAACATGTCTCCTGGCTCTTCGGGAGTATTCTGTAGATGACAATGATGATGGTGACGGTGGGCTCCATTTGGTGGGCCCAAACTCTCTGCGAGGTGCTGCTCAGAGTGCTCTGCATATAGTCTCTTTAGTCCAGATTGAACTGCCTTTCAGAGGAGATTTTATTATCCCCCTTTATAAATAAAAGAACTCAGGCTTGAGACAAGGCTGAGACATGTGCACAGCCAATTTAGGAACCAAACCTTACAGAAAGTGATGAGATGTTTCCTTATGCCTACACATGTCACTAGATAATTAAAACCTATTGTAAAAGTGTGATTTAAAATAAAACAGCAGATAAGTCTTCTTCAAACCAAGGGGAAATTTATTGAAGCTCTTTCCTAGTGATAGCCTAACTTGTACTCTGAATATCATCCAGGTATTCTGTCAAACTCTGGGCCTCCCAAAAAACGCCACAAAGGGTGGTCTCCAGAATCTCCATCAGCTGCAGATGGTGGCTATCCCCAGAGCACTGGGAACAGAGTCAAGTATGGTAAGTGACCACAGCCTTGCTGAAAGTCCCAGACCTGGGTACTAGTGGTGGTGCTGCCACTGGGGTGTGTGTGTCAGAGTGGAAGTTCTAGGGAGATTGACTTTGATATAATGAGAGGAGCCCTTTCTTGTATGCTAGGACTGCTTTGCAAAGCCTAAGCTCCCTGTATAATAGTGAGTTCTCAGACCCTAGAGAAATTTTAAAAGGGGCTGGTTTGTCACTTGGCAGGGGTATTGAAGAGGAAGAGACTGAGTCATAGATGGGGAGCGTTGGACTGAATGAACTTAAGGGGGCCTTTGACCTTGGGAATCTGTCCTTCTAAGACTTTGGTGCTCTCATGGGCAGGAATATGGGTCGGGTTGCTAGTAGATTTGTTGGCTGGCCTGATGCCTGCCAGAGATGGTCCTCTTGTCTGATATATTTTACTAACACACTTGTCATGTTCCTAGAAGGTACGGGCATGTCCTGTGTGCCCCAGGTGGGCTTGGTGGGACCAGCTTCAGTCACTTTACCTGTTGTGGCTTCTGGAGAACCAGTGTCTGTTCCTGATAACTTGCTAAAAATATGCAAGGCCAAGCCAGTGATATTTAAAGGCAAGTACAGCAGTGCTCCGGGTCATGTGGGTAGGACAGTATAGAAGGAGACACAGCAAACAGGCAAAACAGAGACCTCATCCCAGTCTGACTCCAAGGGTATCCTGCTGAGACGAACCTAAAACTCTTTCTGTTTAGGTTTGAAAGAACCAAGCAGAACCAGTCACTGGTTTAGCCCCTGGTCAGATGCCAGGAATCGCTGGGCTTGTTACAGTTTTCCCACAGTCAGTCCAAGTGAAACGATTCCCTTCCATGGAGCCCAGAGCTTGTCCATTAATCTCTCCATCCACCCACTTAGCTACACTGAACTGCCACAGTCACAGGCCAGCGCTGGGCACTGAGGATCAGGAGGTAGACCAATCAGTCCTTTGCTTCAGGGAGCCCTGATAGGGGAGTTGTCCTGGGGTCACCAGAAGCCACTAGTATTTTTTGACTGTGAAATCTGACTCTGGGCAATGATAGCCACAGTCACCGCTGTGAAAGCATAAAGCAAAATTGGATTTGGTCTACTTTGTGCAGAGGGGTCATGGATGCTGTGTGGAGGGAGATTTTTGGCTTAACTAAAGACATTTCTTCACAGTGACCTTGAAATGGGAAATCGTGTGAGGGCTTGATTGACGATGGTACCCAGTGGTACAGTGTGCCAGCAGGTAGCAACACATATATGTACACACGGGGGCACAGCACACCCACACAGACACAGACACAGACGCACTTTTGGGCCCTTAAATAAGTTAATATTGCATTTGGCATCATGCTCGGAGAGGGTGGGAGGTAGGAAAGTGGGAGATGCAGCCTGCTGTTAACTAAGAAATAAGAAAGGACACTTCCACCTTTTCTTCTCAAAAACAAAAACGAAAAATGTTCAGGGTACTCAGGGAACAGGGTGCAAATCCAGGGTTTCACCATGGCCTGAGGCAGGGCAATGACTGAGGTGGTTCCCTTGGGCCCCACTGGGTAACTAAAATGAAGGCCCACGTTCAGTCTTGCCACAGGCATTCTTTGCCTGGCCGTTGTGTGTCTGTGGTAGGCCTGGAGAACACACAGCTGGGGAAACTGAGCTAGGACAGTGGCCAGGATTAGAGGTGTGGGCAGGGCTTCACCTGCACCAGCTGTGAGCCAGGGGCCTCAAAAAAGGAGCCTGGCAGAGGTGTGCCTCACTCTAATAGTCTCCGATGCAGGCTGTCCTCTTTGCTGTCAAGCACACTGTCTCCCCACTGCCTCTGTGTAAGCTGCACCCCTCTCTGTAAAGTCCTTGCTGCTTGGTTCCTGTCCCACAGCCATATGCCCAAACCCCACCCATGCTTCCAGTCCACAAAGCCGTCTTAGTCCCCTTTGATCTGGCTCCTCTATGGGCCTCTATGATGACAAATACCACGTCCTTTCTTGTGAAGTAACTCTTTCCATTGCTTCTTACACACTACGGTGGTTACAAGCAGTGCTGCCCAAGTTGCGGGCCCTGGTGCAGCACAGCCTGCACAGCTGGGAGCTGATGAAGGTGGGAACGCACAGCCCTGTCAGAACCGGGCCCCACGTGTGCTCAGAGCACTGGGGTGGGGCCGGCAACTGTAGTAGCAAGCCTGTCCAGGGGTCCTGGGGTCCTCGCTCACATCCAAGCTAGTGATGCAGCTCCCTTGAGGATGTGACCTGTGTCTCAGGCACCAGACTTACCCCCAAGGGTGGCATGGTACCTGCACCACAGCAAGCAGCAGGATTCAGAAAATGTGCTTTGGTGAATAACTGGAGTACCTTCTGAGTACAAGATACCATCCCCCACACCCCACCTTTGTTATCTCTGCAGCCCCATGAGGATTTGACATTTTCACCCGTTTTATCCCCACCTTATAAATGCAGAGACTGAGGCTTACAGAAGTTGAGCCTCGTGCTTAGGGTCACACAGCTAAAGAAGGGAGGAGAAGCACCTTGAACCTCCTGAATTGCCTCAGCAGTTCCTCCTCTGACAGTTGTCATCAGAGTGAATCTCATGTTAGCCAAAACATTAGTCAGGGTCTGTCTTCTGGTTTTCTGAGTCTTCTGGTCTGTCCAGTGACTTATTTTTAGCTTCCAAAGAGCCCTGGGCGGTGCAGGGCAGGCAGACAGCACCCACAGGATCTGGAAGGTGCTGTGCACATGGGGCGTTCTGTTGCTAGTGCCAACGCAGTGACAGGCCATGGCTGCGTGGCTCAGCGCAAGGCTCTTCCCCTGGAGTTTTATTTAGCTTGCACAGCTGTAAAATAAGGGGTTGGGTGAAATGAACCAACATACTACATTGCCCGTCAGTTGTAAAAGGTCACCTCTGTCATCCTAGGCCCAGGAAGGCGCAGCAGGTGCACTAGACCAGCAAGGGCTGGAAGGCCAAGATTGCTCGGCAAGGGGCACTTGAGTGACCCTGGTGCAGTTCACCATCTCCTTTAGCTCCCTCACACCCAGAGCCCCCACATGTGTTGGGAGTGAGGGGTGCACGCACGAGGCCAGCTGCCAAGTAGCTGCTACTTTTCCCACAGGCCACGGGAACTTCCCTTACCTCTGTGGGAACCTGAATGACGTTGTGGTCAGCCCCCTCCTGTACACGTGCTACCAGAATTCCCAGTCCATCTCCAGGGCATATGAGCAGTACAGCGCCTCGGCCATACAGCCTATCTCAGAGGAGATGCAGCTTCTACTGACCGTCTACTATCTCGTCCAGCTGGGTGCGTCTCCCTTATGCTTCCCACGGGCAGGGGAATTACCACAGGCGGGAAATGCCACAGCCCTGAGCTCAGACCTCGCTTGGGGCCCTGGGGGACCCCACTGGGGCTGTTGGATGTGAAATACAGGGGAGCTGCTTGTGGCCCCCCAGGAGGACAGCATGAGGGTCTGTCTGCATGCTCACCACATGGAAGGCCTGAGAGGAGGTGGAGCTTGACGGAGACAATTCCAAAACTATTTACTTGCCATTCCTGACAAGGGACATAGCAGGGAATAAAACAAAGATGTGGCCCTCAGTGGGATTCTGTTCAGGTGGGAGAGAGCTGACAAACAGGCAGGAGGTGGGCCGGTAAGGGTGGGCGTGTGTGTGTGTGTGTGTGTGTGTGTGTGCGCGCGCGCGCGCGTGAGTGTGTGTGTGTGCGCGCGCGCGCGCGCGTGTGTGAGTGTGTGTGTGTGGGGGGGGTTAATGTGGGTCGTCAAGAAAGGCCACTGTGAGCGGAGACTTGAACCATGAGAGCCAGGCTTGTGAAGATCTGAGGGATGAGGACAGGTGAGAGCCCTGGGGGAGGGGCAGGAAGGGCAGGTGAGAGCCCTGGGGGACAGGAAGGACAGTGAGGGCCCTGAGGTGGGAAGGGCATGAAGTGTCCAGGCTGGTGGGGAGGCCCTTGTGGCTGTGAGAGGTGTGGTCAGAGAGGAGACGGGTCTCAGGTTACGGTGAGGAGTGTGATTATGTTTTAGACGCATTGAGAAGCCACTGGGATATTTTTAGGCAGGGGGTGGATAGGATCTGATTTTCATTTTAAAAAGGCCACCTTGGCTGCGGCGTGCGCTGGGTGGTGCGGTGATGCTCTATCCTGGGGCCACCTTGCCTTCCTCTCTGCCGCTGCCCCCTCACCTGGGGACCTTCTCACCCAATCTCTGCCCTTTAAAACCAGGAATCCGGTCACATCACTTCCCTGCTCAGAGCCCTTCTGTGGTTTTGTTCCCTGTCATGAGCTCATTCTGCTCCTGTTCCCAGGCCTGGTGACCGGCCTGTTACCATCTGCTCACTCTGTTCTAGTCTGCTGTCCCCTGGGCAACCTCACGGTCCCATGAGGGTGTCTTGTGCTTGCTGTCCCTTCCCTCTGTTGCTCTTGCTCAGGATGTTTGCTACATTGCTCCTTTATATCACTTGGGTCACCGCCTCAGAGAAGCCTGTCGATGTGTCTAGAACAGCTCCCTGTCCCCAGCCCTCTGGGGCCCTCTGTCCTATTCCTTTTGTCTTTTCCTCTGGGGCATCACCACGCACAGAGATCATAGTCTGTGAATGCTTGTCCACTGTGTGTCCTCCCCAGGTAGGAGGCAAGCTCCACGAGGCCGGGAAGGGTCAGCCAGCTCCTTTCCATCTGTGCATGTCCAGCAGAACCTGCAGCAGGGAGAGGTGGAGGGAAGGGGTGAACGTTGGTACAGAGGAACTGATCAACTGCGTCACAGTGGCTGAGACATGGGACATGGGACACTTATAGTTGACTGCTGGGTTTAGCCATCTGGAAGCAGTCAGCAGCTGTGATGAGTGATGTCGGAGAAGGCTGAGGACAAATGCCATACGGGAGTGAGTTAGAATGGGGCAGGGAAACGAGTCCTCGAGTGTAGACAACTCTCTTCAGGAGCTCTGCTGGGTGGTGATGGCTCTGGGGTTCTGGAGGCAGACACGGGCTCAAGGGAAAGTTTTAAAGAAGAGACAACAATGAATCCAGTCACATTCTAATTTGATGAGCTAATTCATCAAATTCTGAATCAAATCAACCCAATCAAAGATGGAGACATAAGCTAATCAGATTCTGGCACAGCCCATTGAAGAGGAGGGTATGAGCTCCTCTTCACAGACTGGGGAGCTGTTTAATCAGGGTGTTCACTTCTGCACAGCTGTGCTGGGAGAACTGGGGGGCCACCTTCCAAATCTGATCTACTTGTGCTCTTCCCACTCCTCACATGAAAATCTGGGACATAAAAGCTGGACAGTTTATCAGAGAGAAAATACACATAGGAAGCAAAGCATTCAATCCTGCTTGTCATAAAAGAGGTGCAAATTGATACATCAGACAAGTATTTCTGTTAATAACAGTTCAAATGATAGTATCCCACGGAGCGGCAGTGCAGTACGATCAGCACTGTCTCCACCGTTAACGGGGCAGACAGACACGTTTGGGCTATGTGGAAGCAGCTGATGGCATACCATTTGCTGGCTCTGTAGACCCAGTTCTGAGAATTTAGACAAAGCAAGTGACTTTCTCTACATAAAGATGTGTATGACAGAAGTCTTTCTAAAGGTGAATATTTGGAAGAAATTAAAGGATCATCAGCAGAGACCTTGCTAAGTAAATGATGATGCCTCCATGTGACGGGATGTTATGGACACATGGTCAGTGCTCTTTATGAAGATAGAAACATCAGGGAAACCTCATTGAAGGGTAATGGTTAGGAAAGAAGGCAAGACCAAAGCTGTATGCCCACAGGCACTACAGCTGCTTAGAACCTGTGTGTGTGCCTGTGTATTTATACACACATGCAGGTATGAACACAGAGGCGTCCAAAACACGTACACATGTTTTAAGAAAAAAACTGTATTAAAACTGTAATACTCAAGTCACGTTTGACTTCTGCAATTACAAGAGGTACAAGATACAACATATAAGGTAACGTCATCAGTATATGCTATTATAATTTTAATACAGTTTCTTCCTTTCTTAAAATGTGTATACATTTTCTTGGCACCTTCTGTCTACATAAAGACAGAAATAACCAGAGGTCGCTGCAGGTCTATCAGGATGGTGAGATGATAGTAGATTTGATGCCTCCCATGTTCCCAGCTGTCCCGGGCACTGTTCAGTAACAGCTGTCATTTAGGCTGCGTTACTGTTAAACTCGCCTGGCTGTGGACCTCACACTTTGCGTCAGGCCCCCTGCCTGTGTTGCAGCAGCGGACCAGGTGCCCCTGATGGAGGACCTGGAGCAGATCTTCCTGCGCTCCTGGCGTGAGTCGCACCTGACCGAGATCCGGCAGTACCAGCAGGCGCCGCAGCCCTTCCCGCCCGCGCCCGGCCCCGCGACACCTGTGACCTCAGCGCAGCTGCCCTGGCTGGCCAGCCTGGCCGCCAGCTCCTGCAACGACAGCGTGCATGTCATCGAGTGCGCCTACTCCCTGGCCGAGGGCCTCTCCGAGATGTTCCGGCTGCTCATCGAGGGCAAGCTGGCCAAGACCAACTACGTGGTCATCATCTGCGCCTGCCGCAACGCCGCCATCGACTCGTGCATCGCGGTCACGGGTGAGTGCGCCCTCTCCGCAGCGTGGGCTGGGGTTTGCGTAGTGGGTGGGACCTGCGGTTCGTGCTCTGTAGGTGGCCCCAGCGGCGGTGCCTGAATAATGTCCTGGTTACAATTTTCTTAATGTCCTGAGCTGCGAGGGCTGCAGTTCCTGTTTCTTCCCCTCCCAGACTGGGGTCAGCTTTGGAACCTGAAAAGACCTGGTTGAAAATCTGACTCCACCGTGTACCTGGCACTGTGGTTGATCCCTCAGGCCAAGACTGTGGCCCTAAGTTTCTTCACCCTGTAATGGAGATAAAAACGGTGACCTTGTTACACCTTGTGTGGATTCATGAGCCAGTTTACTAATTATCAGAACACTCCCTGAAGCCCTGCTGAGCACACATCCTCGCCTTGGCTGGGGATGTACTGGACTGGGCTTTCATGGAACGTCTTTCAGATGGGGAGGCAGAGACCAAACACAGAGGACTTCAGGCCCCTTAGACCTTGTCATCAAAGAGTTTATGCTAATTCTCAACAGAGGTCCCAGGGAACGTTATTGTTGTCTTCCAGGAAAGTACCAAGCCCGGATTCTTTCTGAGAGCCTCCTCACCCCAGCAGAGTACCAGAAAGAAGTCAGTTACGAGCTGCTTACCGGGAAAGTGGACTCGTTGGGGGCCTTTTTTAGCAGTCTCTGTCCAGGTAGGCTTGTTGTCAAAGGCTTACATTGCTGAGACAGAAATCGGTGCCAAGGGAGCGTCACCTCAGCCCCGTTCTGCCTGCGACCTGCTGGGGCTGGCTCTGTGCACTGCCATTTACGTCTTTTCTTGCTCATGGCATGGTTTCTGGCTGTCTGTCTCCTGCTCTGGCTGTAGAGTTCTGGTGGTGGTTGGGACCTGTGGGGTCTGTCTTTGAAAGACACACAGGACTTCGTGCCTGTTCCTTTCGACCTTTCCTGGCTGATCACCCCTCCCTCTCTGCCCCTCTGAGTTGCTTGGTTCCTCATCTCCTGGGGACACTCCTCATGTGTCCAGTGCTGCAGGGCCCTTCCCCCTTCCTTGCCTCACCTCTCAAGACTCATCTGGTGTCCCCTAGAAAGTGGGCTGCCCCTTGCTTCCCAGGTGTGCTCGGAACCTTCCTCTCTGCCCTCTAATATTTCTTTCTTCCTTCTTCCTGAGGCCCGGCCCTGGCTAGTGAACTCTCTTTGTTCATGTGTCTGCATCCTCCTGCCAGGACAGGCCACGTCACCTGTACGTCCACTACTGCGGGCTGCGGGACAGTGCCTGACACATGCTAACTGTTCCGTAGATGTCTGCTGAACTTCACGGAGATGGAAAACCCATTTCTGGTTATTTTCTATGTTTTGGGCAGAGGGTGACATTGACATTTTGCTGGACAAATTTCATCAGGAAAATCAAGGCCATATTTCTTCCTCCCTCCCTGCCTCCTCTGTCACTAAAGCAGGATCCCTGGATGTCAGTGGAGCCCCTGTGTGCACAAGTGAGTGGTGAGAGGAGCTGCTGAGGGTGCTGGGCGTGCCAGGCAGGGGACCGGGAGGGACACAGGTGTGATTAGGGGGGGTGGTGGTAAGGCTACAGGTGTGCTTAGGGGGTGATGCGTAGGAGGAGTATAGGTGTGCTCAGAGACTGATGAGAGGGAGGGGCGTACACACCTGGGTTTGACCTGGGGCAGCAGCATCCGAGGTTGGGGGCTCGAGGTAGCAGTGTCAGAGGCACGTGCTTTAGTAAGGGCATCTCTTACCAAGTAGTCCTGCTGCCTAATTTTACATTTAGTCTTTATTGACAACAATCTCATTTTATCCCCAAATTGTACATCTTTATACTGTTCCTGCCACAGTGCATTTCTCTAAGCCGATTTCCTGCCTGTAAATGCATTGCTGACATTTTTTTATTCATAACAATTTCCTGAAGTGCTGTGATGGTTTCTTCCTTTCTGGAGAACTTGCAGCACTTTTCCAAATTCGAATCTCAGCGTCACTTCCCCTGGGATGGGCTCCTTGCCCCACCAAGCAGATCAGGTCACTGTGACCTCTGTGTTCCCCAAATGTATGATTTGTACCTTTATTGTCAAGTGAAGAAAGTTGTGTAAAGTGACTGCCTGGGGCCTGAGAGCAAGCACTTGGTGAATGAGTTTTCTTCCCTGCCCTGCTTGTGCATGAGTCTGTTTCCTCCTGGGCCTGGGCTCACTGATTCCCCAGCTGAGGGCTGAGCATTGGCTGTCTGTTCTTGGCCTCACCTGGCATTCTGGGGTCTGGTTCCAGGCTACCATCTGGAGCCACATGGCATTCGGCCGTTCCAGTTGGCAGTGGCACAGAAGCTCCTTTCCCATGTATGTTCCATTGCGGATTCCAGCACTCAAAATCTGGATCTGGGATCCTTCGAGAAGGTGGACTTTCTAATTTGCATTCCACCATCAGAAGTGACCTACCAGCAGACTCTATTCCATGTCTGGAATTCAGGTATGCAGCCTTTTTGAGACAAGCTGTGTCGCCTGCTTGGAGAAGCTTCGATCTGCCTAAATTCACACTTGGATGTTAACATCATTCTTGTCTGTACAGTGAATAGAGCAAGTATTATGGCTCCCGTTTTGTAGTTTATGAAACTGATCCTCAGAGACAGTGACTTGCCCAAGATTTTAGAACCTGGTGAAGGTAAAGCCAAGACTTAAAATTTTTGCTATGCCACACTCAGGCTAACTACATGTTGGCTGCCATTTGGCTGCCACTGAGTGCGTTTTTCCTGTTCTTTCAAGAGTGTTGTGTTCAGATGTGAAACACACAGAGAGTCAATGTCTTAACTAACAGGACTGGCTCTGTAGTGTAGGGTAGGGCCCTGTGGTGTTCAGACTGGGGTCCGCTGTGCCAGGAAGCTGGTGAAGCTCAGCCTGCCTCTGCCCCAGCTCCTGTGCAGAGCAGTTATATGGCTGTCACCTATGGGGGCGTCTCCTCCCTGCTGGGTGTGTCCCCAAAGCCTCAGGCCTCGCTGGGTACCTGCTGTGTAGGAAATGCTCATGTCTGAACAGATGAAAACCAGCCAGGGTGTTTGCGGGGTTACTGGTGCATTTTTTTGCAGGGGTTTTATTGGAACTTGGCCTGGAAAAGGAGCACGTGACCAAGCAGAGGGTAGAACAGTACGTTCTGAAGCTGGACGCAGAGGCACAGACAAAATTTAAGTCCTTTCTGCAAAACTCCTTCCAGAATCCACATACGCTTTTCATCCTAATCCATGACCACGCCCACTGGGATCTCGTGAGGTTAGAGTGACTTGGTATATGACAGGTTGATGTGTCCCTTCTTTGAAATGATATATAGGAATGTTACTTGGGGCTGAGGATACAAGCCTTGATAAGATGGCTGGTTCCAGGGCTCGGTATTCGTAACCACATGCCATAGAGGTTTTCCAGGATCTCAGAGCTGAACGTTATCTCAGGGATCATCTAGTGCAACCTCTGAAAGTTACCCCTGTGGAAACTCAGAGCTGGAGCAGGGAGGCATGTCAGTTGGGGTCACGGGGTGGGGCGGGGCGGGTGTTGACAGCGGCAAGGGGCCTAGAGCCCAGGGCCCTGAGTCACTGCCTGATGGACTCTGTAACTTGCTCAGCAGCAGGGAGCCTTGCTGGGAAGCGGAGTGGGGGGGGTCCTGATGTGAGCAGCTCAGCCCAGCCCCTCCCTGGGATGGCTCCTGTGGGCCCTAGTACTATGGTCACTGCTGGCATCTGCCCTTTTTGGAGGCGAGTTTACTCAAGTAAAATGAATATAAACCTAGGTGACTTTCAGACAGGAGTTTGGCAGGGTTTCAGTGGTTCACCAGGATTGTCTCTGTGAGACTGGCCTTGGGGTTGTGCATTTAGATAGTGCCACTGATGCAGGTGAGGAAGGAGAGGCTGGTGGGCCAGATCACGGAGGAAGCCTTTGATTGTCACAGACTCAAAGATGCTTGTGGCTGGCCAGGCCTGAGGGCTCACCAGGGAAAGGGTATACGATCTTGTATGGGCTTGGGGAAAGTGGACATTCTGAAATTCTAGAAAGAGCTGTATGGCGAATATGCCTCTTGGGGGGAGGTTTCTCAGAGTGGTTTCCTGCCATCTGAAAGGTTATCACTGATTTCGTTTTTTCCTCGCCCCTGGATTTATAGAAGAGAACGCTAAGGCTGCTGACTCGCTGATCCACGGAGAAAGGCTGTGCCAGGCCTGCCCTCTGGAGCCTTTGTCTAAATACTTTCTAGTCTTTTACTGCTGCCTTTTAAGTCTAGTATAGAAGTTACCTTTTTATATCTTCTTTGGCCCTTTCAAGGTCAGAAGGACTTTAGGGGAGAGAATCTAAGGAGATAAATACACAGTCAAATTAGGCCAAAGGTGAAAATGCAATTCATCTTACACTACTGGCTACGAACACCGTTCCAGAGGAGCCCATGGATTGTGTACCTTGTAAGAAATCCCCTATCGATGCTGTTCCCCAGGTGCTGTCCCCCAGGTGAAGGTTTCATAAGGTTTGAGTATCAGGGGGAGTCCCTGACAGGTACCTGAAGTCTAGTCATTTTTTTGTTCGTTTGTTTCCTAGTAATGGGCAGAGCCATAGTCTTCAATTGTTGGCAGAGTTGAGGGTTATTTATTCAACTGTAATTCAAAATTACAAAAAACAAGATTAGTAATTCCACCTATTGTTTCTCCTTTCCTCCCTCAGTAGCGCTGTTCATAATCTCTATTCTCAAAGTGACCCATCTGTGGGCTGGGTGGACAGATTGCTCAACTGCAGGGAGGTGAAGGAGGCCCCCAACATCGTGACTCTGCACGTGACGTCCTTCCCATATGCACTGCAGACCCAGCACACCCTCATCAGCCCCTACAATGAGATCCACTGGCCTGCGTCCTACAGCAGTGTGAGTGCCGCAGGGCTGGCGGGCCTTGGTGCAGCGTGATGCTTGAGTCTGGAGAAATTATGCATAGTAAAAATCTATATCAGCTTGGTTGGGGACCAGGGGTTCCAGCTTCTTGGGTCTTTGATTCAACCCAGGATTAGATTTAAGCCCTTCTTTGTTTTTTTGGGAACCTGCCTGCATTGGCTTCTCCGTCTCAGAAGTTGTGGAGCAGTGGGGTTGGTTTGACATTTCTCCTGGGGCTGTGGCTGTCTGAGCAGCACTCTGAACATTTGCTCTCACGGCCATGGATAAGGCTGTTGGAAGATAGAGTCTCTGAGAGTTGTGGGCTCTGGGCTCTGTGTGGAGTCGCTATAAGTGTATCCAGAAACCTTAGGAGTGTCTCGCTTGTCCTGTCTCTGCATCCTGAAGCAGCAGAGTTAAAAATCTCCTTCTTTAAACCGAGCATACATCCTCAAAGCCTGGTGAGTTTTGTTTGAGTTTATCACCTGGCATTGTCTAATCAAAACAGGACAGACTAACACAATTCTGATAATCTGAGAATTCTGGGTGGTTGGATTCTAGCTAATTACACAAGGAATAAACTTAGAATTTGGAGTGCCTCACAGTCATTTAAGGAACTTTTAAAAATAACTGATACTTGGGCCAGGTGGGCACAATGGCTCACACCTATAATCCTTTGGGAGGCCGAGGCAGGAAGATCCTTTGAGCTCAGGAGTTTGAAATCAGCCTGAGCAAGAGCAAGACCTCATCTCTACTAAAAGTAGAAAAATTAGCCAGGCATTGTGGTAAGTGCCTTTTGTCCTAGCTTCTTGGGCAGCTGAGGCAGGAGGATCACTTGAAACCAGGAGTTCGAGGTTGCTGTGAGCTAGGCTGACACCACGGCACTCTACCCTGGGCAACAGAGTGTGACTCTGTCTGAAAAAGCAACACAAAACAAGAAGCCCCCAAAACTGATGCTCGGCTTTCCCCTGGTAGACTGAGAATGGGTGAGATGATAGCCTGTGTTTATGAGGCATTTACCATGAGCCAGGAGGCCCTGTTTGAAGCGCTTTGTGCTATGAACGCCCAGAGAGGCCAGTACTAGGAAGAGTTGCGATTTACAAATGGGAAAAATGGTTGGGCCACTTGCTAGAGGCCCAGCAGCTAGAAAGTGGACCTGGGATGACCTAGGCCACTGGCTCCAGGGCTCTGCCCTTAACCACTGTGCTATTTGGGGGTAGAGTTCATACGTTTGTATTTTTAATAACCTTCCCAACTTTGGAATTTAAGTCAATGTGAATAAAATTGGCTAGTAGATCAGTGTGTCTTTTCCTATTGATTTTTAGGAAAAGAATGTAAGATAACTGATATAATTGATTTACCTATCCTAAAACTAGCTTAAGACTGTGGAAAGAAGCAATTTTAACAAAGAAAGTTGTATGTAAAAATAAAAGATAAGATTAATCTCCTTCTTGGTAAAGATGTTGGGGCTAAATGAATGGAAAACTCTTGACTGATGGGGATACATCCTCCTTAAAGCATAGGGGGGATGCTCTTTGCTCTGGGTCTGCAGATAAAAGAAATCTCTAAAATGCCATCCATAGTCAGCACAACTTAGAAGAAGATGCCAATCCAGGTTGTCCACAGGTCTATTATGTGAACCTCTGACCATCCCTGTGAATGCAATGTCTGAGCAACTAATACTTTTCTCTGTTTTAGGGAATGGACTTATATCATGAAAATAAGAAGTACTTTGGGCTGTCAGAGTTTATTGAATCTACGCTTTCAGGACACAGCCTTCCCTTGCTCAGATACGACAGCTCCTTTGAGGCCATGGTCACTGCATTAGGAAAAAGGTAGATGTCTCTCTTGGAAGGTCCTGGAAGTGCTCAGTATCCCCGTGTTGGCTTTTTGTGTCTTACTGCACACTGGCTGCCTCCGTGTGCTGAAATCGTTACCCCTGGCGGATGCTAAGCCCTGCATTCTCTAGCTTCTAGAAAGGGACTGATTGCTTTATCATAGTTTGAAAAATGCTGGTGTGGTTTTCCATACCCGAACCAATCTACTGGGGCCGGCAGGGTAAGGACGTGTACAAACATAGCAGCTCCCTTGGGAATTCAAGGTTTATTTCCTAAGACATTATAGTTTTCGCCTCTAGAATTTCATTTGTGTATTTCTTACATCTCCACTTAACATGTTCACTCTTCCCTCTAGCTTCCTAAACATATGGAACAGAGATGATTGTGTTAATGTTTCCGTCTGTTAATTCTGTCATCTGCGTCATTCCTGGGTCATTTCCTGTTCATTGCTACCCCCTCTCCCCACATTTTGGGTCATAGTTTCCTGCTTCTTTACATACCTGGTAATTTTCTGAGAGGATGTTGGATATTGTGAATTTTACCTTGTTTGGTGCTGGGTATATTTGTATTCCTAGAAATCCCTATAAATCTTGAGTTTTATTAAGTTAATCCTTCCAGGTCTTTCTTTTAAACTTTGTTAGGCAGGACCAGAGCAGTATTTGATCTAGAGCTAACTTTGTCCATAACTGAAGCAAAACCCTCTCAATGGGTGTATTGGCACTGAGGTCTTCCACACTGCTTGTGGGAACAACAACTATTTTCAGCCCTGTGTGAGCTTGGGACATTGTTAACTTTAATCCACTTACAACCACAGGACTCTTTTCTTGGCCTTAGGCTGTTTCCTTACCCACATGCACTGATCACCTCTGCGGGTCTCTGATGTTCCATCTCTGTGCAGAACTCTCCTATTTGGTGCTGTGCCCTGTGACCATTAGCCTTGGTTCCCCTGGACTCCAATTCCTCTCCTCAGGAAGACCACCACCCTTTGCCTGGGTCCCTTTTTCCAAATACAACCCAAAAACTTTTTCCAGGCAGGAGCTGGGAGCTCACCTACTTTGTTTCATATAGTTCAGGATCCTTGTTTTTCACTGCCCCAAATCCCATGTCTCAAAACACTGTTTTTCAGTTGTTTCATGTGAGACATTGTGTACAAGTTAGACATGACTTTATTTATTCCTACCAAGGAATACAGTGATATATAGTGACCTGAGTTTCTTCTACACTGGTTTCCTTGGGGCTGGTTTCTGATGTGTGGGTGAGAGTCACCCCAGCAGTGCTTGTGGTTGTGGCATCAGCCACCACCTTTGTGTAGGGACTCTTTTTTTCTCTCTCTCTTTTTCTTTTTTGAGACAGTCTTACTCTGTAGCCCTAGTTAGAGTGCCATGGTATTGTAGCTCACCGCAAACTCAAACTCTTAGCCTCAAGTGATTATCTTGCCTCAGCCTCCCTATATCTGGGACTATAGGTGCCTGACACCACACCCAGCTAGTTTTTTCTATTGTTAGTAGAGACGGGGTCTCACTGTTGCTCAGGATAGTCTCAAACATCTCAACTCAAGCAATCTACCTGCCTTGGCCTCCCAGAGTGCTAGGATTACAGGCGTGAGCCATCGTGCCTGACCATTTAGTTATATTTCTAATAACTCATTATAATTGAAATGAACACAGTGACGTGTGTTTAGAACTGTGTCGTCATATCTGGGGGCAGTGGTTGCTGGAGGCTCTCTTCCATCCAGTGGAAGCCTGGGGCAAGTTAACTACCTCCTCGGGGGTGATATGGACCGAACAGGATTTATGTCACTCATTTATCTGTTCATTCATTGAAGAAATATTTATCGAGCAGCTACCAAGTGCAAAGTGCTAAGTAAAAAACACAGAAGAAGCAACAGCGGCAACAAACATGATTTTGTTTCTCCAGGAAAAAACAAAGGAGTTTATAATTTGGTTTCTAAGGAAGATTTCTATGTGGGATTTCTAGCACCCAGCTTCTAAAGGCAGCTGTTGGCCCAGCTCAGCGGCTCATGCCTGTAATCCTGGCACTCTGAGAGGCAGAGATGGGTGGATTACTTGAGCTCAGGGGATGGATTTTTGTTTTTTTTTGGAGACAGGGTCCCACTTTGTCACCCTTGGTAGAGTACTGTGAAATCACAGCTCACAGCAAGCAACCTCTAGCTCTTGGGCTTAAGCAATTCTCTTGCCTCAGCCTCCCAAGTAGCTGGGACTACAGACATCTGCCACAATGCCCAGCTGTTTTTTTGTTGCAGTTTGGCTGGGGCTGGGTTGGAACCCACCAGCCTGGGTATATGGGGTCGCTGCCCTCAGGGGATAGATTAAGCTCAGGAGTTTGAGACTAGCCTGAGTAAAAGCAGACCCACATTTACTAAAAATATTAGAAGAACTAGCTGGGCATTGTGGTGGGCACCTGTAGTCCCAGCTACTAGGGAGGTTAAGGCAAGAGGATCACTTGATCCCAGGAGTTTGAGGTTGCTGTGAGCTAGGATGATGCCATAGCACTCAGGGTGACACAGTGAGGCTCTGTTTAACAACAAAAAAAAGCAGGCTGCCCATGGTAACTCATGCCTGTAATCCTAGCACTCTGGGAAGCAGAGGTGGGTGGACTGCCTGAGCTCACAGGTTCAAGTCCAGCCTGAGCAAAAGCAAGGCCTACTCTAAAAATAGTCAGGCATGGTGGTGGGTACCTGTATTTCCAGCTACTTGGGAGGCTGAGGCAAGAGAATCTCTTGAGCCCAAGAGCTTGAGGTTCCTGTGAGCTGTGACGCCATGGCAGTCCACCAAGGGTGACAAAGTGAGACTCTGTCTCAAAACAAAACAAAACAAAAAGCAATTTATAAAGGCCACTGTTCCTATTTCGGGAGCTACCCGCTCCCAAGCCACAGTGCCTTAGTGTTGGTAGGCAGTGCAGGGCAGGGTCTTGGAAGGCCGTGGTGGGTCCGCGGCACAGGCGCGGCCGTCACGGGCGTGGTCTCTCTGTGTTCCTTGCAGGTTCCCCCGCCTGCACAGCGCGGTGATCAGGACCTTTGTTCTCGTGCAGCACTACGCGGCCGCGCTGATGGCCGTGAGCGGCCTCCCGCAGATGAAGAACTACACGTCGGTGGAGACGCTGGAGATCACGCAGAACCTGCTCAGCTCCCCGAAGCAGTGCCCGTGCGGCCACGGGCTCATGGTGCTGCTGCGCGTGCCCTGCTCGCCGCTGGCGGCCGTGGCCTACGAGCGGCTGGCGCACGTGCGCGCGCGGCTGGCGCTGGAGGAACACTTCGAGATTATCTTGGGCACCCCCAGTTCCAGCATCACTGTGGGGAAGCACTTCGTGAAGCAGCTCAAGGTAGGTGGGTGCTGAGCACAGGGGCGGGGTGCATCGTATAGCCTGAGAGCTACCCAGGGGACCACAAGAGGGAGGGAGGAGGAGCACCCAATTTCTTAACTGAGCCAGTGGCCTGGCCACCCTGCCTCCCTGCCTTCCTGCCTCCCTGCCAGGGCAGCTGCCGCCTCCCCCCACCTCAGGTTGCCTGGCCACTCCTGTCCTCTGGGTGGCAGCATGGTTTCCGTTCTTCCTGGGGTGCATTTCTCCTCCTCTGTGTTTAGCTGAGAGTGGTGTCAGCTCCCTGTCCTCACCTCTGACCCCCAGGGAAGCCTCCTCCCTAAGCCTGCCTGGGGTCGTGCTGATCCCTGCCTGTCACCCAGCTCCTCCCCTGGAGGGTAGGGCCACCCTCACAGATCACTACCCCACAAAGCCTAGCTCTGTGCCTGGCCCAGAGTGGATTCTCACTGAGCCTGCAGGTACAAGAATATGCTAAAGCCTTAGAGAAAGAATATGGAATAAATGAATGGGAGCCACCAGGAAACAGGAAAAGGCATTAGGATACCTGAGGACATACACTTTCTTCCAAAGAACCAGCCAGTTAACAGATACCGCTGGGCTGTGGGTAACAGTGGTGTCACGGGTGGTGGGCTTATCTGCAGCATCAAG